TCTCTCTCTCTCTCTCTCTCTCTCTCTCTCACACACACACACACACACACACACACACACACACACACACACACACACACACACACATGCATACACCACGACTGGCCTCACACCACTTCCATCAATAGGATGAGCAAAATCGATTGAATTTTCCGCTAGAACATCGAAATATACACTACTACACGTGTGTGTGTGTGTGTGTGTGATATATATAGATATATATATATATCGTCACAAACAGAACTGCCCAGTAAACCGTAAGCAGAGAGAGAGAAGAAGACAACAAACGAGGGGCTGTCACAAACTGTTTCGTCGGAGTTTCACTGACTCATCAGGACGCTGAACCCTAACAGTCTGCAGAATCTCCTTACTGATTACACTGGAAATCATATATATACAGGGTTACCTGACCAAACGTTCGGGGGCCCCCGGGCTAGCCCCCGAACATTCGGGCGTTCGGGGTCCTGTTCGGGGGCCGAACACCTCCAGGTTCGGCCCCCGCCAAAAAATATTTCGGGGCCTAAAAATAACTTTTCTTTTCTGAAATTGTTTTTGTGAGTTCTCTATGATGTAACCTACATGCCTAAAAATTTTGAAGCCCTTCTGCTAAGCCAAAAAAACATTAAAAATCATCAAAGATGGGGGTGTCAAAACGTGCTCACCCACTCACTATTTTGTCTCTTTTTCACTTTTAACTTTTTGTTTTCACTTTATTTCGTGGCCTAAAATTGTTATTATTTTTTTAAAAAAAAATAATGGGTTATTGATTATGTAAAATTCATATCTGTATATTTTCAGGGCATTTGTCCATGCCAAAAAATAATTAAAAATCGGCAAAGATGGCAGTGTCGAAAAGGTGCTGGCACACTCACTCATTTTAATTCTCTTATTATTATTATTTATTTTTATCATAGTGTTTATTTTCTGTATTTGATTTTTAATTCAAATTTGGTAAAGAATTTGGATATTGTTCATTTTATTTTTCTCCATAACATATTTGTTTTCCGGAATTGTTTGAAAACTTTTTTTTTTTTTTTTTTTTTTTTTTTTCCGCGTTCGGCCCGAATGGCCGAACGCCTTCCGAAAGGGTCCTGACGTTCGGGCATTCGGGTTCGGGCGTTCGGCCCGTCCCGAACGTCGGCAACCATGTATGTATATATATATATATGTATATATATATATATATCGTCACAAACAGAACTGCCCGGTAAACTGTAGGCAGAGAGAGAGAAGAGGACAACAAACGAGGGGCTGTGACAAACTG